TGGCAAACTTGACTGGAAGAGAGAAAAAAAACTTGGGACCTTTCCCCTCAGATAGCGGCCCCTTATCTCGGCCCGCGCCTCGTACACCCAGCCGGCCCAACTGCACCGCGCGGATTTTTTTCAAATAAGTAAGTTTCTCTGGCGCATCCTGTATATACTGTCCGACATACTAAGTCACGCAGCGCTCCCCCTGCTAGCTTGCGCTCGAGGAAGGGAAGGAATCCTGGTATTTGAAGATTCGAAACCTATTCCAGGTATTCACAAAAAAACTGTTGCAGCTTTTTTTCTTTAACTCTATCCATCCTTCTGCAGCTTCATATTTTTTTGTATTAAGGATTGAAAATGCTTATTTGTCAAAAGTAGTATGTATTGAAATAAGATTATTTCATTTAAAGGAATGTCGTGCCACAGGATATTAATGGGTCGCAAATAGACCAAATTTGGGCGTTGTGCCCTCCTTCAGGTTCTTCCTAAAGTCCAGTTGTGGTTTCTCTGGACGGAAGGGAGAAATGTCCTCCTCACACTCTTCTATTGAATGTTATTTCCAAATACAATACACAATTCAGAGCAAAGAAGCATGCAATACTCTTACGGGCCTAAAAAACTCTGCAGTTGAGGTGTCCGGAAACAATAATTACCAACCGCCTAGTTTTCGAGTTTCGGCCTCGTGTGGCACCCATTTGACAGTACCTGCTTTTTTTTAGGGCGGACTGTTGGTTAATCAGAACTTACGTTATTCAAATTGAATTTCACTTCATTTCGTAGAAGAGCGCATGACGAAGTTGTACTTTTATCCATAGGTGTGCGCAGCCTAAAACAAGAGCGAGATCTAGCCCTTTTCGAGGCTTTGTTTCCAGTAAAGGTGCAGCAGTCGATCCGGACAAATTTCAATTTGAATTTCCCGCCATATCATAGCTCCGCTAGAGATCGCGGTTGGCGTCCTTGAAAGCCAGACGCTTCCATAACCTTAAAATGCCCGAGATACTACCTACAAGTGCGGAGTACAATCGAAGAGCCGCGATTATGGAAAGCCTTCACGGTGGGCGTTCGGCGACCGAGATCATTGGATTCTTCGGGAACCTGAGGTCGACTGTTTATGATGTGGCGAAATACAATGCTTCGGAGAAATCCGAGGAAGATTCCGCTAACCCGGCGAGGAGTTTCCATTCGAGGGAACGCGCGTCACGAACCTCGACGATCGTAGAAAGGGCTCAGGAGCCGATTTCGGAGGGCGCTGGACAATCGTTGAACGGGTTATTACTCGCGCAACTTTTCTTGAACGACGACCTTGCTTCCCCCTCTCTGGTACAAAAAACAGATGAAGGCAAAAGCTCGCAGCGAGCACTGATGACATTCCAAACACATCTTCACTGGCGCGAAGTAGAAACAATTTTCTTTAGAAGACGAGAACTTCTATCATTTATTTTCTCCAAAAATCTAAAGAAATGACCGAATCAAGTACTAATTTATTACAGGAGATACCTCGAACTCCTGATAAAGTTAGAACGCAAATTATTGAGAACGTTACGAAGACGTGACTGATTCTCCAGAGGTGGCCATTGCTTGATAAAATCTTGTGGCCGATTTCGTAACTAATACCCCCGCTCTACCCGCATTTATTTAATCCATCGTTCAAGAAAAGTTGCGCGGGTAATAAGGCCAACGGCGGTTACATTGAGTAATTGTACTCCTAACAGGTTACACGAATATTAATAAAAAACCTTTTATTTTACATTTGTACCATGTGCCAATAAATTACATTTCAAAACAAAGTTTAATTTGCCCGGATTTAACTACCGCACCTGTAAACCTTTTTTTGTTTCAATGTACCTCATGTTCTTCATATAACAAAAGCATTGTGGAATATCATAAAAAATCACAGTATCATCCGGAAACTGTAGAAAATGTTGTGTTAAAGGATGACAGGAGTGGGATCTAGTAAAAATCGAAAGTCTTTTCAGTAGACACTTTTCGAGATTTGCGGTTGATCTCAGTAGCGGCTGGTGATCCAACAAACTGTGGGTTGCAGCTCTATTGAAAGGCAGAAATGTCATTTTCAACATTCAGAATACTAATGAATAATGAAACGTAAGCAATTAACGTCAATTAATTGAAAATAAATTTAATAACGTCTGTAATCAAACCTTAGTTACAAAATTTTATGTGTAGTGTCCATCTCAGGTATGTTCATCTTCCGCACACATAATTCTGGCTTTGATTTCCAGTCGGAACTCGATTTTTACTTTTCGAGAAAGGTGCTTAATGCTGCGAGAAAACGGCGAATTTTCGGCAGAAAAACGACCCTGGTAACGAAAAAGTGGATAAACTCAATTACATTTAGAAAAACTAACACGTGGTGTAGCCAAATCCAAAATTTGTGGGTCCTTGATACCGAAAACCCTAATGACGGCAAAACCACTTGTCTGTCTGTCCGTCCGTCCGTCCGTCCGTGACAACGCTAGCGATTAAACCGTGCAGCCGATATTCTTCAATTTTATATCACCCAATTTATGTGTCTCATGTCGCGATCTCTTGAATTTGAAACCGACATTTTAATTTTGAGGAGTAAATGTGTGCATCGTGACGCCTCTGAGACATAAAAGAAGGCTGCATCATTTTTTATTAAATAGTGTTCTTGGATAGTGTGATGGACGTTTGAGAATTGCGCAAGCCTAAGGTTCGTTGATAACCCTGATTTTTCGAAAATTGCAAAATTTTATCGGTGTCTTCCTACAACTATAACTTTGAATATAATTTTTCTTAATGAAATGTGTTCATCAAAAAAAGTTGTTCAAAAAAGAAAACGTTCAATATTTTGAAAATATTAGTATTTTTTGCATAATTTTAGATGAAATATGGGCACTTTTAAAATCATTTTAAACAATTTTCTCAGAAACTGCTTCAAATTTTGTCTTTCATTTTTTTTATTTACGTATGTACAAAGAACTGTAAAAATACTGGTGATCGTCTCATTTTCGGCGCACTCTGCATTTTCGAAAATTGAAAAAAAAAAAACCTTCGGGATTGTAAATTAAAATTCGTTTCGAATTTCGCTTCGTTTAAGGCGTTGCCAGTTCGTAAAATAGCAACACAGGTTTCAATATTCGAATTCATACCATTGTTGTCAGTCATGATTATTGTATGATGTAGATAATATTTTCATGAAATGAAATAGACTGAAAGAAGGTAATAAAATTTAACTTTGAACTAACAAACACAGTTGTATACTTTAAGACGTTTTAGGCGCTGATTATGGTGTTAAAAAATTTAAAGATCACTTCAAATGTAATCAAATGAAATAAAAATTGTTAGCTTCCAGGGAACATCAACAATGCAGGGCATGCAACAATGGAATTCCACATTGCGCTCGCAAATTCCTGTGAATTAATTCTCATTGTTGTGACATGATTTAGCTGTATGAAAAGAAGTTGTAATTGTCAAATTTGTGTAGATATTTGCTTGATAATATTTAGTTTTCACTATTTGTCATGAGTAGACCCCGGAACATCATGCACTATAAAAGTTAAAATTATCCATGCAACTATTCACTTATAATAGTCAATACATGATCTTAAAATTCAGAATATGCATTAAACAAAACATACTGAGCAACAGATAACATTTATTTATATAAATCTTTATTTTACACCGTAGTACAAAACGCGTATAATAAAAATATATTTTCAAACATTATAATAAACAAAAAAGTTATTGAGAATGAAAATGTCTCCCTTCAGTTCATTTGTACGCAAAACCTGGAAGATATACTCTTAAATATGCCACATACCTAAAAGTGTTCTGTTAATGAAAAAAATCCCAGAAATTTGCAATTATGCAAAATAAAAAAGGGTCACTTTTGTTTTATTTTAATGGTAGGTAAAGTTATATACATTTCCTTTCGATTTGCGCAATCAGTAAAAATATGCAATTGCATGAAGTTCCGTGGTGCAGAAATGAGTAAATGGTGCTACAATTACACCATATGTGAAAGTATGAGCAAGTACTTCCGTTTGCGATGAATTTCGCAACATTTTTTTAAAAATTATAAATTACTCCTCAGAATGCCCGATGAGGTATGTTATGTACCATTTAATAATATCGGATACCTAAACAAATTACTGCGTATTGAATAAATAAAAAGGCACATTAACCGAATAACTTCTTCAAAAACTTAAAGAAAACTGCCTGCGAAAGTTTTTCTATATGAGCGTGTACTAATTTAAACTTCTTTTATTCCAAAATTAGGCCAGTAAGGGCTAAACTGTTTTTACCGTTTTGTAGAACGAAAATTTTTCTTTCATTTTCATTTTTTAGGGTACTTTGATCTAAAGAACATATTACGTCAAAGCTTTATTTTCCTGCGCTTCATTTCAAGCGGTGTCATTACATAACAACTCGGAAAGAAATTCGTCGTTGAATATTAGTAATTTAAATAGTTTATTAGTATTAGAGGTATTTATCAGCTGTGAATGATGTTCTACGACTAACTGATAAAAACGTCATACGAATAGACGGAAATTGGCGTTTTTGAAAAGTATTGTTATTATTCGCCATGCGAATGCACATAGTTTTGACAACGCTGCGCCGGCAACAGTGCGTTGCTGTCTTCTGTATAGTTTGCTGCGAATACTGCATCAGTCAAAAGTATTCCTATTCGTTTCATTTATCAAAACAAGAAATGATTACTGCTTCGGACTATCGAAATAAATTCAGATATGCATCACAGACGCTTCGTTTTTGAATTGGACGTTTTCAAGTCTTGGCTGAGATGTTAGATAAGAAAATGCAATACTACAAATTTACGTAGCCGTTTCCAATAACGCGAGGAAGTGTGTGCTGTTATAGCACCACTAGTTTTTCTTGAAGATTTTGCTTCATCAATGTATCAAAATAAAGAAGCAATCACATCGGAATATTTTTGTATCTCTCGAAAGCTTTTGAACATAACATTTTGCTTTCATAACTTCCTTGATTAGGAATTCGTGTTATAACCCTGGATAGAATTTCATCTTACCTTTAAACATCGATTGTTAATAATATTATTACCGTCAATTGAGCATGGAGTTCCTCAGGGTTCCATTTACACTCTATCCTCTTTTTTGTATACGTAAACGATATGCCCGCTTTCATTACAAACTGAAGAACAGTTCTCTTTGCCGGCAGGGTTGGGCAGTATTTAAATACTTATATTTGTAATATGTATTTCAAACACGAATTTATTAAAAAACCTGAATTTTTGAGTTTTTTAAGGGCATGAATTGTAAAGATGTTTTTAAATACTTAAAGTAAGTGTATTAAAAAAACAACATAAAATACAGATGAAGAATATAGTTTAGAATGAGGGTAGTTTCTCTTTGTTTGATTCTGCTGGTGAATGCACCTCATTAAAACAAAAATTAAAGCTGCTTTCAGCTATTGGAATTTGGATACTCATTTAAATGATAACTCTAAATCATTAAAAATGCTGGCCAATTATCCACAATTTAAAAAAAAGATTAATTGTTATAATCCATGCCACTTGAATGACTATTTTCCTTTACAGATTTTTTACAGATATTATTGTCAAGATTTGTTTGAAAAATTAGTCATTGTAAAAGGAAATTTCATTTCTTTTTGTTAGACATATTTTTGATATCATTTATATTTAAAAATGTTTATACATATTGTTACAATACATTACAATAGTTATTGTTCAGAAACGTGCATGACTCTCAATTTCCAATTTACTGTAATTTTTAACTAAAATATAGTTTTGCAATAAAATATATAATACAAAATCATTATACAGTACATGTGTACTTAGCACGTCAAGTCCTAATGTATTTTAGCACCTATTGAAATAGTTATTTATAAAGTATTTTAATACTAAATTCAAAGGATTTTCCCAACTCTATTTGCTGAAAATGCTCATTGCAAAAAAGAGATCATAAATAGTAGTTTCAGATATTTCAAATTCTTTTCATAATAATAAATCAGTAAAGAAGGAAAAATTTAATTCACAACTACAAAGCAGTTGTGAGCATATTTACTCTGAAGTGCTCATTCATGTTGTAACGAATTTTCCTTGATGGGCCCCTTTTAAAATACATCCTCTTACTTTTTTCTGTAATGTTCTACATTCATAATCATAACAAAAACGATTTAAAGATATTTCTTTCCCATATTTTCATAAATAACTCCTTTTCTGAAAATCGGAAATGTTCCTGCTTCTGAGTAGCCAAGTTTTTATTCTTTATTGGTTGCAAAATGTTGACTGTTTTCAAGAACTGGCCATGTTTCCGTAGTATTGCAAACATTATTTTCTAATGCAATAAGTCATTTTGTGAATACATAATTGTAATTTTTTGAGTTTCCTTAACTTTCCAATGATGAATACAAAAGAAAAGGAGCAAATATGTAATTAGAAGTTTTGTAGAAAACAATTACCAAAATCATTTATATATTAGAGTAATTCTTGGATCTTGATTAACCCAGTCAATCACTAGTACATGTTTAACAATTGACCTGCCAGTCTACTCCTTAATCTTCACTGACCCCCTTTACACTCCCGATACAATACTATACTACTGCAGCATTCAGCGAGACTTAAGTATTTAATTTGCTGCAGTTTTACTTGACATATTTTAATTGTAGCGCTTGAACAGTGTGCACGCTACTTCATGGACTTGTGTGATTTGTTCAGCAGCGGTCTTGCAGTTGCAGACCGCTAGTGTGTTACTACCCTTTATGCGAGATTAATGTAGCTGCTGCACATTATTGCCAGCAAGAAGGAAATTTAAAGTGTATTATTATGCGTCTCAGCCAATGCCATTAAAGTAAGACTTGATTGTGTGCTGAAAAGAGAAATCTGACCTTGCACCTTAGTAAATTCTCTCCAGGATGACATTCAGAAAGGTATGAATCATGAATTTGCAATATAAAGTAATAATAATCTGTTATATTTACATTCATTTATTGTACAGTATAAACGTTTAGTAAATCTTGTCTATAAATTACGACACCAGGTTCATATTTTTCACTTTTGTCATCACACGGTCAAACATCGATCTACAAAGACTTGGTTCTGTGACTAACATTCAACAACAAAAAAAATTAAAAAACAATACCAGGCATAACAAGTGCAAAGATCCTAGAAGTGTGTTCTTTATTTGATACATATATAGTCATATATTCCACATCGTTCAAACAGAACCTCAGATTTTCAATAAATACAAAATCAAATTGAAAAGCCGATATAAAACAAATCTCACCAAGATATTCCAATCTGTAATGACAAAATTTCTTATTGAACACCCAAACCCTGTAGTATATGCAAAATTAAATATAAAAAGACAAAAAATTGTAGACACAAAAGCATAATCTGAATGAAGACAATATCACTGCTAGGTCTGTCTATATTTACAACGCGCACATCTCGTGGCGTAGATTGCGTTAAATTTGGTAGCCGACCACTGAACAGAGTGAAGTTCAGATAAAATGTGACCTAGAACCAAAGCATTAACCCAAGCAGGGGTTAAAATGAGAGTTGAGATCACACTTTGGAATGAATTCAACTGTTATCACCTCTTGGACTAGCAGGTCTCTTGATCCTAGGTGCCACATATCATCTGTACTTCTTTCCAGAGATATCTAACTTGTCTATCCCTTCCAGATTGGGTTTTCTTATGTGCTGAAACGTCTCCACTAATACGCTGCATAGTAAAATACAGGAAATGTGAGCTGTCTGCCTTTTAACATCAATTATTAAAACAAATAACTTAAGTAACACTCAATCAAGATATTTTTTGTTGAAATTAGGCAGGAGTTATCTCTCATATGACATCTTTCTTTTCTTATGTATTTTGCAGTTTAATTTATTCCCTCCTGACTGCAGGGATATTTTTAAACTTTTTGACAGAACTCGTCAAACATTCAATATATTGAAATATTCTTTTGAAATACATGAACAAAACTAGCTTTGTAGTACTTATTTCTGATTGAAATGAAGTTTGGAACATCTAAAAAGTCACAGAATGCTTAACTTTCATTTTATAAGTAGATCCACTTAACTCTTGATTTTTGCTACATGAGCAGTGTTTGTTCCTTACACAAATGAAATTTAGGTTGTAAGTTCTTCCTACAGAATAAAACTCACTTCTTTAACTTGCAGATAAAAACTGCACACTGCAAATGCAATTTGAATTCCTCAAAATTAACAAGTAATGAAATAGTAATAGAAATATTTCATTTAAATGCAACGATGCTTTAAGTTATCTTCACAGATTGGATATGAAATAATATTTACGGTTTGAGATCATTTTAATTCAAGACAAAAATGTCTTCTCTCATAAGCATAAAATTTTAATGTGAATTCATAACAGCACTTAGAAGATCATTCTAACACAAATGATAACATTCATTATTATTTTAAAAACATTTTTTATGGGGAAAGCTAATAGTAGTTAACAATAAGGACACTTCAGCACTAGTATAATCCAGACAACAGAAAAATAATCTTTTTGCAAGGATACATAAAGAACTTAAACTCGCTATGTCATGCACATATTAGCATACATTTCCACATCAAGGCAACAAATATAAATAGTTTAAAGAAGTACAAAAATTGATGGTGATTCCTTTGCTTGAATTGTAGAGTAAAAAAAGAAGACAAAAGTAAAATATATGAAGCACCGATAAATTTATTTGGAAGGGGAGTATTAATTGGAAAAAATTGACAGAATAATTTCACCTTTTGGTTGAAGAAAAATTATAAAGTTCAGTTATGTATTACGCACATTTTTTTTTGTGAAGTGTGTGAATGTCTGAAAATTATTATTTATGGTATTATGTAGTTTACAGTACCTTATTTACGCTATAATACTCTTTATAGAATGTACCACAGTACTCCCACAATTGATTTCACTCAAAGCAAAAAATTTGACATATTACATCAACATCTACCTTAAAATTTTTCCTGTTTACAATTGTAAGTACATTTGTTTACCGCAAATAAGTGCATAATCAGTCAGAATGAAAAGTTTTTAACTGTTTGGCAGACATGCTCCATTTTCCTTTTAATGACTTAGTTATAGCAATACAGCTCTAGACTCAGATTGGAACTGCAGCACTTAGCATCACCAGGTTTGTCAAATATTGGCTTTCTTTCAGCATCAAAGATAGGAGAAGGAAGATAGTACTACTGCTGTACCTTTCTGTTCAAAAACAGAAAAATAATTATTTTGAATGTATACATGTCAAATCTGTATGGGAGTTATTGCATTTCATCCAATGAGGTTTTTTTCTTAGCCTTAACTTGTCCACCCTTTTTCCACAGGTAAAAGAACTATTAAAATATCTTTTTTGAAATGGTTTGTACTGATGCAAACAACACAAGCCTGAGTGATGACACATGACAACAAGAGCCAGCTCTAGTTTTCAAATGGAGTAGTAACAAGCACTAGATAGGCTGCGCTTTTAACAAAAGCATCAACACACCATTTCTTTGATAAAAACCAACCCTCTTGTAAATTTCCAACAGTATTCTTAGATTAATGTTTGTTTAAAGATACATTTGCATACTGGTAAAGTGACATGGAAATATATAGCATCTGTACAAGATTGGACCATTAAGTATGCACTTTCTGAAGGGTTTGGTGCTCCCACCTTATCCCTGAAAGTTATTAAGCAGCAACATTACAATACTTCCTCTCTTACTATGGACAATAATAGCTACATTGCAATTTTTTTCTTACTAGTCAAAATAGGTCTCCACTCGAGATAAAAGTTTGCAACTTCTACCCCTCCAAGATGAATCCACATACAAGATTTGAGCTTGTATAATTTCAGTATAGCATTCTCTACAAGTAAAAGTCATCCATTTGTGCAATTCTCTTTATACAAACACAATTTCTAAAGAAAAAAGTTGTTTAGAATTAAATTACTTCTTTCTCAGTGGAAGCTAACTCAAGTTTTTGCCCCCTTCACAATCCATGATTAGAACAACTCATTATTTAAGTAGCAAGCTCTGGTCTTCTTCACCGAAGCCATAACTTCAAGCGTAAAGCGTCCACACCATTCAAGTAATAACGGAACAGCCTTTTGTCCCGCACAAAGCCAAGATTTTCATATAATCTTAACGCTGGGCGGTTGGTGATTTCGGTCTCGAGCACAACCTGCAACCAGAAGGAGTTCCATCTCTGACTAATATCAGAAAAAAATAAATAATGAGTTGAATGCTTTATTATACAATGATAATTTTTTATAACCCACACGACATTATGGAAATATTATTAAAGACATTTTCATGTTTATTTGGAAGGAAAAAGAAAATGTTGTAACAATGCAAATTAATGATAAATACATAATGAAATCATTTCTCCTGCGCAAACCATTGACAATCTACAATCATAAATTTTTATTTTGGGTGGATTTTAAAAGTTTGATTTAATTATTTTTATACACAGTTGTCTCACTAATCAACCAATTGTTATTGTTGCAAACATTTAAAAAAAAATTATTTTGAAAATAATTACAGCAAACCTTTACAGCAGCCTCTACCTTTACACCATGTATCCAAAGTGATACAAAAAGGCCATAATTTTGAAACTGAATAATACTGAATGAAAATTTCAATTTCATAAAACGAGATTCAGAATTTATTCTCCTTTCATGACATCAAACAAAATAACTCCACATTCTACTTAGAAACATGTTATACCCCACATATCGTTAAATTCCCTACACATACCTCATCAGCATCATCTTCAACCATGGCTCGGATTGCTTTCAAGACAAGATTTGAACCTACAACAAGAGTTTCAATAAATTTAAACATTAAACTAATGTTTTAATTAAGACATATTTACAAACACAAAGTTCATTTTCACACCTATTTTTCTTTTCCTATATTTTTCATCAACAGCCAGCATTGCAATATAACCTCGCTTGACAACTTTTCGATGTACATCTAACTTGCACACAATTGCCCCAACACATTCACTCCCATGCATTGCCTGCACAGAAAAAAGGATAAAACATAGAATCACTAAATGAAATTGACTTCCAATAGATTTTGAAAGTGTCAACATATGCTTACCAAGAAACACAATTTGGGCCAATTATGAATGAAATACCTATATGTATATATTGAATAGGGTTCTGACAGGTCTTTCTGAATGAGTCTCATTATATCAGGCATTTGAAGTTCCGATTTATATGATACATATTGTATTTCCCCACTTTCCGATGACTCACTTTTACCTTCATCTTTACTAGGAATAGTTTCACTAGATCTACCACTGTTATCAGGATGGTGATTAACACAGTCTGACACAGGTTTTGTGTCTGCATTATTTGAGCTATCACTATGTATTCGTGTCTTCTCACACTTATCACAATGACTAGAAAATTCAGTTTTTCCATTTGACAACGAACAATGCTCATACTCAGCCGAGTGAGGCAGATCCATTCCTACAGCTAAACCATTCACGATACCATTTACACCTGATCCACTTTTCAAGTTCAATTTGTCTTTTAATAATGTTGCTACTTGAGTAGAACTTCTTTTCTCCTCCTCTGAGGTAAGCTTTTGAGATGCTAACATTATAGTCAGGTTGCAGTTTTTGTCTTCCGTCGGTAATGTTGTTTCATCCAAAAGCTGTTTACAGTTCAATTCTTGCTTTGTATTGTCAGCAAGACTGGGAGACTGTACTTGTGCAACAGGCCCATCAGACTCCATGAATTCAATATTATCGTCCATTCTGAGTTACAATTTACTGTTGGCTAGCCAAGTATGAACACCATTCTAACAGAGTAAATGTTAGACTGTGATGTCAGTGGTGGGCATTATAATAATGGTAAACCGTGCGGATTAAAATTTCAATTTCAGATAGAATACACTGCACATTAAACGTACAACCATCTTGGATTTTGCGCACTGGACTGGTCGAATTGTTACGACTAGCTCTCCGTTACATTAGTATGTTAAAACAAGCCCAACATACACATGAAAGTTTTATGGGGTGGATGAAACATTAAACACATATGCGCTATCCAGCATGATCTCGCAAGGGTGCACAATTGAACTATTTTTTATGAAATGCATATAATACATGTCCGCATATCCCTGCGCGTGTTCGCGACCTCGCGACTCATGTATCGTTTTAGAATTGAATCGATAGGAAAGTCGATAAACATCGAGAGGACAGAGGACAGTATAGTTGCGTTCTCTGGTTGCACTGAGTTGCACTACACATGGTTTCACGTAGTGAAATTATTTCACGCTGTGGTCGCACTGATGATAGAACGTCATGATGTATACTCTGATTAAAACACGCCGAATTGGAAGCTGGGAGACGGGTACGAAATGGGGAACTTCGCTGCAACTTAATTTTTGATACTAAAGTTCCTAACGGGATAATCGCGTATTATATCCGCACGTTTTCTTGAGCCCGGTGTATCTATCCGCATTCCTTTCCCAACATTAGTTGCATTAATAATAAATGTTAGCAATGAGTGTTGATGACAAAATGGCTAGAAATGTTCGCTCCCGTGTATTAAGAACGATTTTGCATGGAAAAATGAACTACAAATTCGACGTAAAGTTCCTTTTGTCAAAATAACCAAACTCCCCACTCCTCTCGCATCTAGTGAAGCGAGAGCTCAAGAAAACGTGCGCGGATAATACCAGGTGATAAAATGTAAGTTCCCCCTACATTTTAATCGGAGTATTATTTTCCATGGAAAACACTATGGTTGCACAATTTCCATTAGTTCATTGCAATGGCGGGAATTGTAATTTGTTCATTGCAATGACTGGAATTGTTCATTGCATGTTACTGCGAACGTAGGCAAAGAAGGCAACAGAGAGTATTATTGTCCAATACAAGCATAGAAGTATTCTTCCATGATAAAAACAGTTATACGAAACCGTATATAAGATATATTTCGATTAAAACATAACCGTAACCAAGATATATTTCGATTAAAACATTAAGTCTGTTGACTCTTGATCGGCTGTGACGCTGTCATCCAATCGGGAACTTGATCACTATACAACCCATTTAAAAATAAATTAATTCTAGTGACGTCACTATCGTGACGTTTAAGCTGCCGATTGAGTCAAATATTGGATAAAAGCCTTACAGCTGACAAGTGTCAACAAATGTTTTAATTGAAGTTTAATTTACTTCGATTTTTTTTAAAGTGGCGGATGCTGTAAATCAACTGTTGCGGTGTCATCCAATTGCAAGCTTAAACGTCACAACAGTGATGATGTTCAAACTCTCGATTGGATGACAGTAACTGCTGATTTACGGAATGCTCCACGTTAAAAATATCGAAATATAGTATAGCAGCGTAAAGTCTACCGTCATCTAGACATTGTATTGAGACCCAAAGTAAGAGAATGTTGCTGTGCGGTGAAGGGAAGAATCATGGAGGCTACAAGATACAAACACAATCTAATATTAGACTGTACAGGCTGTATACCATATAGATACAATACTCTCTGGTAATACATACTGTGATGCAACCACACCCGATCGCGTATTATACTGTTTAAACTGGGAGCAACCTACAACGATTATGTAATTCACTCCTTTTAATACTCTTCCCCTAAAGCCAACTACATATATTTCAAATTAAATGTAAAGTCCGTTGACGTTTAATCAGCTGTAATGGTGCTAGCCAATCGGGAGCATGATAGTCACTATATAGTAAAGTTTTAGCTCCCGATTGGATGACACCGTAACAGGTGATTAAATGTCAACGCGTGTATATTTAAATTGAAATATAGGATATGTTGTTTCTGCTTTGCTCCCATGTTGCTTCGCGCGTTGAAACGACCAAATCACGCGAGGGTCGCCAGGGTCGCAAATGCAATGTGGACCAACGTGGACCTGAATTAACCTAACCTGCTGCTGAGAGAAATCTGACTCTGAGCGGAGTGCGGTTTCCCTATAACCTTACTTAGTTGTGATCACCTGAGATAGTTGTTTGACGTCTGCGAAGGACTGAATGGATCGCGGAGCAAGTAGTGTGTGTTAGGTAAGATTTGACTGATTGCGTAAATAAAATTATTGTTTAATGTATTGGCAATTTAAAGGTACGTTTTTCTTTAAATTCCGCCATTTTTCGTGGTTTTAGCATAATATTTTGTTTTGTGTCAAAAAGTGTTCGAATCGAAGTCAACAGTGCGTGTTTTCATAGTGTGTGTGGGTTTTTTTTTTTATTGTCAAGATAGTCGCTGGTATTTGTGTTCCGTAACTACTAATCATACTTGGCTTTTTTTTTCTTTCCTAGTAATGGCATGGCATTCAAATTAGTCATTGTATAATTCTTTTGTACCCAAAGTGTTTCGGGAAGTTGAGTAAAAATAACCAACATTGTAACCTGAAATTCGAGAGAAGTTTTCTTTTTTAATAGTTAATTAGTTAATTTATTTTTGCATTTATAAAAATTCATGTGCATTACATCAAATTTGCTACATAAAGTAGTTAACACAAGGTATTGTGAAAAGGTTTGTATTCAAGACAGAAACTAATGGAGAAAACTAATACACAATATCACAAATAAAAGTATGAGGCAGTTTGAGACTGAGTGGGCCGCGAACAAATGGCTGGCATCCTATTGCTGTGTTAAGATAACAAGAGATAGCTTGTGTTCTGGTTACTACTATTATAATAAAAAGGGTAAGGTAGGGATTCTGGAGTTCAAGAAAACTTGCATAGATTATAGACTGCTCCCCATGCAGCGTATCCAGTACTTTTTGATGAAACAAATCTAAGATGTGTTTTTAAGTAAGCCACTGAGCGTAGGCGTATTTGCTGTGATAAATTATTATTTATTTATATTTTTTAAATTGACATGGTATTTCTTCCAATGATCTGTTAACAATTATCATTAGTAGATTGTATCATACTCAGTAACTCCAGGATGAGCAATAAAATTGGATCACATTTGTTCAAATATTTAATTTTGGCAAAAAAATGGAATGCAAGTAAAATGTGAGTAAATATAATTCAATCATTTTTTGATAAGAAATTAAATAATCGGAATAAAAAGTCAAGGAAATTATTAAACAATAATTTCTTTGGTTAAGGAACCGGACTACACATTAAAGAAACTGTTTTAATGAATTATAGTTCTAATCGTAATCTAAGTGAAAAGATATCATAGTTATTGTTGTAAATAAACTTGTTTTGAACACAACTAATTTTTCTCTCATCTTACCAGTCCAATTGTGTCAACCAGCAATGCATGTGAAAACAACAACAACAACATACTGACTTTATTGAAACTTAATCCTCTTATGTAAACAAATGAAAGTTGGGCTGATCGTGTAAGAACTTATACATTGAATAGACCGTCAATTCTATTGCATCAGTTGTGCTTGGTACCAAATTTTGTGTTTGAGATTGAGAGCCATGTAATAATGCTGACAATGGTTTCCTAATAACTTACAATAGTAGTAGCTTTTTCATTGTAATCGCCCCTGTTGCCACCAATGGAATAAATAAAGAAAAGAGATAGAGCTTGGTACCAGCAGAGTATGTCTGACACTCCTTTACATGCCCCAATTCAAAATTTTGTTATTAAAAGTAGACTAGAGGCTGAAAAATATCAGACCGTAGGGCTGAAATCAGGTATTTGCTTTAGATTACTCTCAAAGATCATGCAGCATGGCAACATTGCTTGTGCTGAGGCCCAACAGTCAAGCACACTAAAGAATGGTACAACATATAAATCGTATTATAATTGATTACTCACAAACAACCTCATGAAACTGTCAAGTTTTTTTACTTTCTGCCTTTGTGATAATGATCGTGCTGCTCATAATCATGTACAGTGGGGGAAACTACTGTCATCCAATTATTAATCTGGCCATCCTGCTGTGTGAAATTGTATTTGAGCAATGACGCAAGACAATGTGTCCTGGAGTAGACTTATACACTTTAAAGAAACACATCCTTTATAGTAGAGGTGGTGTAAAATGATTTTATTTATCTTTTTAGCATATTTCTTTAGTACTAAAGAGTGTTGTTGCATGGTGTGTGAATGTGGCTTAAATGTTTTAATGTAACTCTATAAAACCTGATTGATAAGGGAAAGTTTAGGGTTCATCATGGTTTCTTTTAACTATTTATGTAGATTATTGTTTTGATGACATTCATTTATGTATGTTGTAGAGAATGGTTTAACTTGAAAAAAGCGAGTTGAGTTTTCTTTTGGACTAAGTTTTATACCATTAAATTATATAAAAAGGGAGTTCCGATGGAGCACATTCAGAGTATCAAACTTCATTAATTAAGAATTTAAAGTTACAATTGTTTTAGAATGCTTGAATTCAGAAAAGAAACCTGGTATTCTACAGGGGTTAAAAGGTCTCCGAGTCATGATAAGTTATATTTATTGATCTTTAAAGGTTTCAGAACTTTCAAATTTCATGAATTTTTAATTTGTTGCCATCAGGAATGAATAATAGAAATATATTCCAAGTTTAGTTTCTACAAAATAAACTATTTTTTTTATATGTTAGATGGGATGTATGATTGTAGAAAGTGGTATGTGCAAGGCATCAGATTTATTTGTTTAATATAAGGCATGCTACACTATAATGTGATTTTTGCAACCTGGCCCCCAACAGGTATCAACTAGTGATGTTTAAGCCCCCGATTGAATGAAACTGTCAACAGCTGACACCTGTCAGGGGCAGAGTTGCATAAATTGCACTATACTCACAGTAAATACAATAATTGTATATACATACTTATAACTATAGATTATATATTAATTACCAAGCTGGATAATAAAATACCTTCAGAAATATTTGAATTACAAATTTTAAAAGTTTAACCAACAAAAATTACGATTGGATTTTCTAATCCATTTTGTTGCTGTTGGTGTTCTTGTAGAAATCAGAAAAAATTGTAAATAAAGTGGCAGATTTGCTAACTCTCTTTATTTTGCAGTCAACATCAGTACTGAGTCTAAGCCCATGATCATAATAAAATAATAAAAATTTGCCAGAATTTAATATTTTTCATTTTTTATAAATTTTATTAAGACCTTATTAATAACCACAGGAATCCTTAGAATAGCATCTCTTAAATGTCACTGCTACTAAACTCTCATTGTGTCAAAATGCTTGTTGCCCACAATTGTCAGTATTTTAAGTTTGAACTAGTGGAAACCTACCAGAATTTTACGGTTACTGATACAAAATTCACACATTAGGAGTTATGTAAACCCAATGTGTTTTAAATATTTTCTTTGATATCTAACCAATATTGCTTTTGTTCCATACATAAGTAATTGGTGTTTGAAGCAATGCATCAGAAGCATTGTCTTAAGTGAAATGAACTAGGGGCAAGTGAACCAGTAATCGGATCACACAGCCCCATCATATGCCCAAATTCTGTAGCGAAGATTCTCATGGACTCCCTTACCTGGTATTTACAGCAGTATGAAATTCATCATGCATAATACATGCATTTTCTGCTGTAATGTGCATGTTTGCACATTCATGTCCTTTTTAAAAATAACAATTAACTCACACCCACACGCTTGCCTGTGCTATGTGAAAGATCTATGATTGATTACAATTTGCATAGTGAATGAATGAACCAATGATACTAGATGAGCATTCATTCCAAAAGTGTAATGGTTTTATTCAAAATTTACTATTCCTACTATAAAACAGATGAAAAATACTGTTTTAATTCACCTTAAGCTTAGCTTTAATACACATGTGGCATACTACCTTTCATTTCAAACAAAAATCATGAAATTTGGTTTAGTAGAATGCTCATGTTGCTTTCTAAATGAAAACCCTGAGTGTTTTAATGATAATGATTTGAAGAAGGTATTAAAGAACAGTATGGAATTTTCTTGAGTTATAGTATAATTTTTTTTTTTTAATCACCAACATTTCGACTTTTATTAAGCCTTCGTTAATGCATTTTTACTCTAGATCTTTTGGACTTATCCTCCACTCTCACATTTCCTTCCCACATGTTCCTTCCTGCACTTCCTGATTTTCATTTTCTCACATTACTTTCATATACCAAGCCACCTTGACACTGCAGTTGCCTTATCCTTGCTGAAATAAAAATGCCCTGATGAAGGCTTAATAAAAGCTCAACTGTTGGCAATATAAATGATGTTTATTTACTAACCGAAACTCAATAAAATTCCATACTGTTAATCAACATGGTCAAGAAATCTGGCACATATTAAAGAATTTAAAGAAAAAAAATTATCAGTGATCAAAACAAAGAAACTTATAATGCGTTTAACACAGTGCTATATGTAGTGTGACATCAATGAGGGTAAAATACAGAGCAATTAAATAAGTGGATATGGATTGTGCCACTAAGTTTTATAACCAGTGTCCATGAAAATTATTGGAATGTTGTTAAGGGTCAAATGAGTCAAGGAGATTGTAAAAACATTTAAAAAATATTTTATCCTATTTAAAGTTTCTTGTTATAATCAAAAGGGAGTTAAACTAAATACTGACTATAATAGTCACACTCTTGCTTGCAAACTTTCATTCCTCTCACTCTCATATATTCTCCATGTTCTCATCTTTGTGTTGATTTAAATGTTGGGCCAGATGTGAAAGACATTTGTCATGTGGTGTCAACTTGTTTGATTGCCTCCAAGCTGTTTGGCAAAATGTCAAACTGGCAGTAACACCTTCGTAGCAACAGCCTGGCATGTGTTTTTCACATGTGCTTGAGGAAGAGAGTTGTGTGTTCTCTTTCTAAAATATATTAAATATTGGAGGACAATTTAGAAAGTGGGTATTTTAAGTTTGTTTTGCAAATGTTTATTTTGTCTTTGATGGGGGTTACAAAAACTGTAATAAATTTTTTAGTGATAAAACCAGACATCAATTTTGTATTTAAACTGTTTGTGAGATCAATAAGTAACTTATTGAGGAGTTAGTAAGCATTCATTTAAATATCAGTTTAAGCATGCATGCTTGCGTGCGCGCGCGCGCGCGTGTGTGTGTGTGCGCGCGCGCGTGTGTGTAGTCCCTG